AGTCGCTGGCTTCCCACCGCGGCGGCCCGGGTTCGATCCCGGGTCTGGTCAAGTGGGATTTGTGGTGGGCAAAGTGGCGCTGGGGCAGGTTTTCTCCGAGTATTTTGGTTTCCTCTGCCAATCTTCATTCCACCAACTGCTCCACAATCACCATCACCTATGATCAGGGGCTGGCACAATAGGCCAGAAGTGGCCGCAGTATAAGGACTTAGTCCCACCCCACTAGTAATAAAAGGTAAGGTTATAATTTGTGCGTCCTTCCAAGAATTTGGAGAATGCGACAACTGAAGGCAGTGATTAAATAATTGTGTGAGACGTACAAGTGGCCTTCTAGGAAGGTGTCTGACACATTCGCTTGGAATACCATCAATCCCACAGGCCTCTCTCAGTTTCTGCGGATTTATTGATTTCTGTATATTGCAGGTTCTTACATTTTCCAACTTGTACAACTTCAGACTTGCTTGAACTCAATTCTCCGCCCGCTGTCCATGGTTTTCGTCACACAAATTACGCGGTGTGAATTGATTTTCTTATCAATCCGCAATCTTTATGGCTCTATATACTTATGTTTATCTGATATATGATAGGCAAGACCTAAAGCACCACGAATAGAAAGAATGGAACGAATTTTTTAGAAATATTATTTCCATTAGATCAGAAACATCTGGAAAGTTTCGAAATGTGGTGTTGGAGAAGAATGGAGAAGATCAGTTGGACCGATTATGTGAGAAATGAAGAAGTGTTAATTAGAGTCAGAGAGTAGAGGAATATCCTACACGAAAGAAGAAAGCGGAAGGCTAATTGGATTGGTCATGTTTTACGCAGAAACTGCCTTCTAAAAGAAGCTATCGAAGGAAAGATAGATGGGCGGATAGAAGTGACAAGAAGACGAGGAAGAAGACGTAAGAAGATGCTGGATGATCTTGGGGACAGAAGAGGATACTGTCATTTGAAGGAGAAAGCTCTAGATCGCATTAAGTGGAGGAATTGTTTTGAAAGAGGCTGTGGACCTGTCGTCTGACAGATTACTGATGATAATGATTATTTCCATGTCCCTCTTCTCGGTTACAGAGGGTTTGTTATGTCTTAATTTTGTGCGATCATTCCACAGAGTAGTCCTTGGTTCGGACGCAAACGAGTTATTTTGTATATTGCAGAGCTGTTTCCTCGTACTAGACATTACCCTGGGCTTTAGTTGCGACCCCGGTGTAGGCCTATCTGCTGAAGCCTGTGTGTTAGAATATAATACGTTTTGTGCACAAGGCGGTTGGTATGTCCTGTCCAGCTATTAAGTTCATACTCAAGACATACATGCTTTTCGGGGCCAGCAGATTAGAACTTGACGCCTCGGGCATCCTTTTTATGGCGCATCGTGTGGAAGTCATGACGTTGGAATTTCACGTTCTTCAAAATGAGGAGCGCCATAAATACCAAAGCGACTTTATAATATGAAGTCACAAGTGAGTTTTGTGATAGCTCTTCGAATATGGCTTTATGCTTAAGTCTCTTTCTGGCATTGAAGCGTAGATAGGATAAGGGAATTGCAATGTCTTTGCAAATCATGCTTTTCTCTCTGTCCCGAAGAGCCAAGCAGAAAGAAATCTATTGTGTAGCCTTCCGAACACAGTGTGGGGTAACCTTGTTTCAGGCAGCTTTGAAAATTCACACTTATAACACCCGCGAGTACTGGAAAAGGTAATTGTTTTTTTTAGCTTTAAGTCATAAGCAGGGTCCGGATTTTGATGACATGTCATCGTATGCGATGCTCTTAAATATATAAATCTCGGATATGAGCTGCTGGTTACAGAAATGTAAATTTTATAGGTAATTTTTTGTCATTTTTTGACATTTTTAGGTTTAAGGTCTCTTTTTTCATTTTGAGGGGTAATTTTTTGATAAATTTTTGGACTTTTAAGGGTATATCTTCTCGTTTTTGGCCATTTTAGGGAATTTTTCTTCATATGTTTTCTGAAATGTGAATAACATTGAAGCGAAGTGTTCTTTCTTTTCTCCTCTAGGTCATTTTTCTGTATTTTTTCGGTCATTTTATAGTTCATTTTTTTAATATTTTCAGGTCATCAAAATCCGGGCCCAGGTCATAAGTAAGTTATATGCCACTTACCTAAATAATGTAACAGATTATGCATGCAACTCATTAAGCATACTAAAATATATGAGTCCTTTGAAGTTTTTACACATTTCATTGGATCACATGTTCATTTCTTGCAAGTTCACAAATTTCTTGTTGCATAAGTGATAAATTACAGATGACATAAACCAGAAGTGTGTACCTTGGTTTTCTTTAAAAACTGCCATATCGGACTATAGTTCATGTGAATGTTGTGTTACTGAGGTTTATGGTATTTTTTGTCATGCACCACTCTTTGTATATGTTGAGCCTTCCCTAAGAAAATCATTAGTTTTATCAGGAATCTGTGTAAAGCAGAATTTACATTAGACCAGTGAGAATCAAAATATTGCCCGTTCTATGACGTATAATGCAAATTCTCAGCGCCAGATCTATTCTGTATTCACCCAGAATTTTAAAATTTGTAACGTGCAGAAAGATAGGTTGCAACCTCCGTATCACCCCTAGCAACGAATTAGTTGTAACGTTAGCTAGGATTTAATTTCATTCAGATGTCAGTGTCATACGGCCCCATGAAGAATTTTCCCAGTATATTTTGCATATTCTGCTAAGGTTAAGACGTAACCAATGTGCTGAGTAAACGATATCATAAATAATAATTCTGTGTGCTTTCAGATACACAGCAAATTTTTAAAGTTACATATTAATTGAAATATACTCTACACTTATATGTTTAACCATCAACAGGGTTTTGGACTGCTGATTGGATTTATTGACAATTTAACACACGACTCGTGACTACGCCTAATTATATCACCATCACTGATTTTACACGCTGTACAAATCACTACAGCACACGTTAAGTATATTCCGTCTGCTTTCACTTGTCGTTTCCCAGTAACGGATCTTAACAATGGAGATTCTTCAACTACACCGACTGAGTCTTCTCTTCACAGACTACCGTACAATTTACTGTATTCAGGTACAATTCCAGTATTCACCGAGACAAACTTGGGAAAGAAAGGAATATTTTTAGCAGAAATAAATCCTGCTGTTATTCCTGCCGGGTATCTTCTGAATGCAGTTCTAGGCCATTGTTTCTTCGAGAAAATGTTCTATGAAACTGAAAAATGTATAACTTCAAGGGCTCAGATAATACATTTCAGTTTAGAGCCCTGTCCATTAAAATTTGTAGAAGTCTGCGAAGTGACTTGGAAGTGAAAAATGTAGACGGATATGCATTAAACCAATTTTCCACTAAGCACTACTTTTACTCTCATCAACTCAAAGCCTCAAATCTCAAAGTTACATGTTTATGTTGCAGATTTAAATTGCCTCGATAAGTGGAAAAATGTTCCATAGTAAGAATATTAATCGTACTAATATCAACAAAATGCTTTATTGCGGACTTGACAGCCGGGTTTCGTCTCCTGGAAAGATTATTTTTCGCCTGCACATCCACAGCTGCCCTGACGACCACCAAGAGTAATATAAAGCGTGAACCCAGGTATCCATCCGAGGGAGGAGCACATCTGATGAAGTGAATTTAATGTTCGTAAGTTTTGAGGTTCTCACAGCAATGGTTGGGGCACGCGGTAGCGTAGTTGGTTGAGGCACTGTGCTACAAGCCGGAAGATCGCGGGTTCGATTCCCGATGAGATTGCTAGATTTTTTTAATTTACCTAAACCTTCCAGCCGCCCTATCGCCTTGGAGTCGACTCAGCCTCTAACAGAAATGAGTGCCAGGAAACTTCCTGGGGTTTAAAGGGCGGTCGGCGCGTAAAGCTGACAACCTCACCCTCATCTGTGAGTCGATTGGCTAGGAAATGTGGGGGCGTCGACGTCTCACAAGCCTATGGGACGCCACGGCCTGTTACAAGGATAGCTTTACCTTTACCGTTACAGCAATGTTTATGAAGAAATCTATTTTCTGGGATGTAACATAGTATAATACTTTGAATAAATGATATAATGATACAAATTCCGTCCCAAGTGCAAACAATATATTATGTGTCCTTGATCTTGTTCCTCTACACTACATGTTTCGGCCTCAGACGGCCATCATCAGGTGTATAACACTCACGTCGGCACACAGCGGCACGCACACAGGAAGACTACACAGTATAACACCTATACAGTGTGGAAACAAGAACTAGCCGCCGCAGCACTTTAGACATAGGGCGAGTAACCCTAACAATTTTAAATTTTAAAATCTAGAAAAAAAAAAATTAAAGGATTTTAAAATTAGAACTAAAGATTTTATAGTGCTACTACAGGTACGTCAAAATTAACGTGTGTAAAATAATCTACAAACCAGACAGATATCAACGAAGTAGATGTTGATAATAACAAGGAAAGTGTTTTAAATGTTAAATTTTGGGCTGGGTGCAGTGTGACAGCGACGTGAGTGTTATACACCTGATGATGGCCGTCTGAGGCCGAAACATGTAGTGTGGGTGAACAAGATCAAGGACACATAATATATTGTTTGCACTTGGGACGGAATTTGTATCATTATATCATTTATCGTATGGAGTGCAACAGGATGCTTAAATATAATATTATAATACTTTGAAATTAAAACCGCTATTCGTCCGAAACTCCGGTTGATTTCCAACGAACTGCACTCCTAAAAGGCTGAGGTCCATCCTGCTTACTATGTATCTTTATTTCTTCAACAATCAGCTTTCGTATAAATGTCAAAGTTCAGTGCTTCAGAAGACCCCGTTGTCACTACCTCACTGTAATACCTCCTGAGGTGTGTTTATTGGATGTCTGATTCACGAACATTGCGCTTTGGTTTCCCCCTCACCGAACCTTCTATTCAACGAAGAAAAGTCTTGCCTCCTGCGCATCTCTTTGAACTTTGTGTGCCCCTAGTAGCAATGCAGACAGCAGAGCATAATGCTTCTGGGAACTCGTGCATCCTCCAGACATTGTATTCATCTTCGTGCTTGACAGAAACAGATAAACATATACAATGGAAAACTATGAGTGTATGGGGCGAGAAGGACGGATTACGGTCGGAAAGAAGACGGAAGGAAAAAGAAAATGACATCTACGGTGCGGGAGCTGCAACCAATTCTATATCTGACAACTGGAGGGAGGGACTCTTCTAATGCATGTTTCTAGGTATCGGACGTCAAGGCTCAATCCAGAGGCGCAAAATGGGAAATAATATACTTCTTAGGAATGGAGAATAAGTGCACAGCTGATATCTTGTGATGGATGACGTGGTATCAGCATGAACTTCGATATTCAGACGAAGAGTGAGGATTATCGTGATGGTAGCGCCACGTAAAATATAAATAAACTTTTGTCACTGATGCTGAAACCTTACTCTGATAGAATTTCGCTGCAGTTCCCTTCTTTTCTGAGGGCACGAGACTCAGAATTTTACAGTATCGGAACCTGTAAATGCGATCCAATGTACGCCTTACTGAAGTCTTTATGAAGTCCACGGATACTTACCTTGAAGTGTGAAGAAATTCACGGAGAAATTATTTTCATTGCTATTATCAGGCTCCATATTGTTCAGACCGGATATATCCAGTGCTTTTGAGCAAGGAATCTCGGTTTTAGCGTGCAAATCCTTAATTTTAGTTCCTATTCCTTCAAGATACTGTGGCATGACGCCCGAAAGCCGGAATAGTGAAGTCAGAATAGAGGTTTTTTGATAGGCAGCGTCTCGGTAAACATTTCCGCGGCAACGAATACCCAAACTACAATCGAGTAACTTTCGTTGCTATGCAGCAGCGCTGTAAACATGCCTTTCCGACAATAGAGATACTGTGTTTCTGCGTGCTCCGTACGAAGTAGTTATAAGGAGGTTCAGTTGAGAAGAATTGAGTCGAGTTTATAGACTCCAGCCTGGCTGGATGTGAGCTTTGGAGCAGAGGATTTGAATTGAGTTGGCAGTTGCAGAGTAATGGCAAAAAATGAATTAGGTGGTGCAAAGAAGACTTCATGTGTGAGACTGGTGTAGCTACTGTGTTGAAATCCGTTGCCAGACTGAGAACACTTAGCATGCTTAGTGATTTTTAAGTGTGTAGATCAGCGATAACGCTGTAATTACGTGTAGGTTCGAGTGCTGTGAATATTGTATCAAATCTTCCAATCCTAAACCCGTCTATAGTCACTAATACACGTGACAATTCGAAGGTGAATGTGTGATCACTAGGGCCCGGACTTTTCGAAAATGCATATGCGCGAATGCAAATGCAGATTTTGAGGGTTCTTGGTCGTTATTGCATATTCTAAACGTAAGAGCATATTTCTGCATATATGTTTGGAATTAATGATCATTTCAATGTTCTCTAAAAAAATCGGTTTTGCCTGTGTTTTGGACATCCCTTGCCAGTTGCTATTCTCAACTCTCTGAGAAACGGCACTTTTACCACTTACAGTACAAGCAGGTACCTTGGATAGTTCGAAAGGGAGGGGGTGGGATTTTCCTGCATTCCACTGACCACGACAGCAGACAGTAGCATCAGAGGGTTGGTCTCGAGAGAAGTCTTTTCAGTTAGTGTGTTACTATTTACTTTAATAGTCTGCATAAAGAAAGTGTTCGTGTACTGAAAATGCCTAAAGGAAAGTGCAGCAGCAGATATTTAAAAATTCGGTGGGTGTCGGGTAATAGTGACGAAAGTGACTATTCAACAGAGGTTGTCGTCGTGTACTGTCAAGTTTGCGCAAAGGAAGTAAAATGCGAAAAGAAATTTAAACTTGAACAACACTCAAGAACGACTGCATATATTGCGGCAAAGAAGGGGAAGAAGAACAGCACACCACAACATCTACTTCTTACACAGGTCAAACCCAAGTCTGTTAATATATTTTCAGCCAATCTTCATAAGGCTTTAGTATGCAGCAACAATCCATGGAATAAATTAAGCACTCCAGTTGTGCGATAATTTCTGGATACTTCAAAAAATCCCAGACGAATCAACTCTCAGAAAAAAATATCTACCTTTGCTGTATGAATCTACTCTGGAGTCAATCCGTTCTGACATAGGAGGGAACTGTGTCTGGATATCGGTGGATGAGACAACTGATTTATGTGGCCGATACATAGCAAATTTCGTAGTTGGTAAGCTACATCCAGACGAACCCGGCAAACCTCATCTTCTTGCTTGCAAAGTACTAGAGAAAACCAACCATAGCACAACAGCAAGATCTGTAAATGATTCTCTGCGACTACTATGGCCATCTGAAAATGAGAATAGTTGTTGTAAGGTGCTTGTATTACTCACAGATGCAGCTTCCTATATGCTGAAAGCAGCAAAGGTCTTACAAGTATTTTATCCAACTCTTATACACGTGACCTGTTTAGTGCACGGATTACACTGCATTGCAGAAAAAGTACGCGCACAGTTTCCCGCTGTTAACAATAAATTGCAAGTGGGAAAAAACTGTTTCTGAAAGCACCAGCTCGTGTCCAGTTCTACAAAGATTGCCTACCTCAGGTTCCTCTGCCACCTGAACCTCTCCTAACCAGGTGGGGGTCATGGATATCCGTAGTTTCATTTTATCAGGAAAATTTCAATCAAGCAAAAGAAGTGGTTACAAAACTTGAAGATGTGTATGCATGTGTCCGTGAAGCAAAAGTGGTGTTTGGAAGTGATACTGTTTATCAAGATGTGAATTTTATCCATGCACATTTTTCTGCAGTTTCAAAAGCCATTGAGAGCTTAGAATCTTGTGGTGGACTCCTTCACGACTCACTTGAACTCGTTCAGGTAGCAACTTGTTCACTGAATTCCGCTCCAGGCGAAATTGGAGAGAAGATTAAATTCAAGTTAGAAAAGGTGTTGAATTCGAACCCAGGACTAAAAAAGTTTCAGTCAGTCAGTACTTAAGTGAAACTGGGTATCTTTGCCAGATGAATGTTCCGAACCTTCGGCGCCAGTGTATAAATACTGTCCAATCACATCAGTTGATGTATGAAGATAATTCTCAGCCTATAAACTCATTTTGCTGGATAATAGACGCATTTTGTCTCCAGAAAACACTGAAAGACTTCTAGTTGCCTCTTGTGATGCTACTTTCTGCAGTGAATGATGCGTGTAAATAGATGAGTCTGAATAAAGTGACCTCTTTCTTAAGTGCATATTGTTTTATTTTTGGTGCATATTTTAAGTGTTTTTAGCGCATAAAGTTCCGGGCCCTAGTGATAACCGACGGAAAAACTTCATTGTGGACATTAATGAGCGTGAAGTTCATCTAAGCAAAGTTTTAAGAGTTAATTCCTACTTCGCAAAATATGCACTGCATCTCCAGTACAAAAACAGATAAGTTGAATTTGTTTAGAGGACAAACTTAATTTATTATAAAAATCATAAGAAGCCAATAAATGAATTCTGTGAACACAATTCGGGGGTTTAAATCATAAAGCAAGTCGTGTGTGTAATTCTCCCTCTGATATTAAGGTTTAACGAGGTGAGTTGAATTACCTGTACTGTTTATATGCGTCTGTAAACACATCATATATAGCACACGCTGTAACATATTAAAAGTATTCATTCTGCCAGCACAGTGCATTTGTGTGTTTCACATGGTTGTCACAGTAAACATTGATTTTTCCGCAGACAGCGCAAAGTGCTTGGCCTTATAGCGGAGGTATAATGTGTTTCCTATGAGATATGTTTCACATGTTTGGGTGACTTGAGACGGGGTTCAGATTGGTAATTCTTTTATTTACCACTTACAGGTTGTAACTACAATTAATTATAACATTGTTACTGATTTTCACACTCCAAAGCACTCCACACTAATCTCTTCAGTCTATCTGCACTAGTCTTCAGAAATGGTTACTTTCCATCTATTTGTAATTCTGTATTTCAGCATCCTGTTGCAAATCTTTAATTAATATTAATGTATATCACAGTCCGTCAATAATGCAACACTTGTTCCTTTTTTATTCCTCCAATTTCACAATTTAACACTTAACACAACATGTTTCGGCTATAGATGGCCATCTTCAGGTGCCTCAATGTATCGAAACTGCTACACTGCTCTTATGTGCGCTAACGGGAAGGTGTGTTTGGATAGCCGTTGGCTAGCAGTGGATTTCCGCTCTGGCTCCACTATTCCGGCTTTCAGGCATTTTGTCACAGTATGTTAACCTCTGGATGAGATTATTGTGCTGAAGGCGCCCTAACGCCACGCTATTCTTGTGTAATGTGCGGACATTTTTACAATTTTATCGGATTCGAATTCTACAGAAAACCCTTTAGAATAAAAAACTCTGCAACATACTACAGAACGTATAACTTTTGCCCAAAATATGCAAATTAATCCTGGTTAAACTAAATCATGAGCTCTGTAATAAATCAGGAAACTGTATACTCAACTGCGGTCAGAAGTTAATTTCAATTGTAAATCTGCCATTGTGCGGCTGCCATGTATTATGCAGACATCATGACTGCTGTGTCTCAGGATCTACGAAGTGATGGATTTTTGACAGTCATTCAATAAAGCTGTTGCTTGACTTCAAAATATGCATATTAGCCTGGTTTCACTTCCGAGTTAGAGGTGGAACCCCATCTCCAACTTGTCAACAAGGCTCATTTACATTGTGTTACTCGTCCGCCCCTACACAGCAGGAATGTGCTGTTGATACGCACAGCGCCACTGTCGACGGGTTCATGGATACAACCCACATCTTGATCACGAACACTGAAGCCTTACTGACAGGGATATTCTGCAAACATGTCAAAAACATTGTGCTTTTCTATAGTCATTTCCTGGAGAAAAATATTGAGAATTTTCTGTAGTAACACCCGTCGTTAACGTCGACTCTATGAGAGCAGCATTGTTAAAACGGAAAAGCGCAAAATGTATTACAGTAACGTGAAGGTACACAACCCGGTACGGAAGTAACAAAACACTTCAATGCCCAACCACACTTTCTTCCTGAGAATTAAAGCATATTTCTTCATAAAGAATTTTAATCTAAAATATACTCGTTTGCATAAAAATGTCAGTCGAAAAGATGGAGGAACGTTATAAGCGGTGACATAGATGGTAAATTAATAATAAAATTAAACGGGCAAATAGGGCGTGAGTTTGAGGGTAGACTCGTTTATTTCAGGATAGCGTTCTGTGTTGAGCGCTTGTGAACATGACAATGAACAGTCTGGTTCCATAAACGATGTGAAACTTCCTTACTAGGTGACGACTATCAGCTTGGAGGTTTGCATTTGTTGATGGGTCGTATTTATATCAGTGTTTGTTTCATGAGAATGAGCTGTGTGATGGGCAAAGGTTTGCAGACAAATTTGGCTCTAAGATCCTGACAGCACGTAGCCAATGACGGAAGGTGTCTGTTAGGAAGACGTGTTATGTTTATTAAATGACTTCTTCTTTAATCATGTTTCCTCTATGATGTTAATATAATTTTTAGCGCAGTCTTTCAAAATAAATGCTCAGCTTGTCGCATGCTTTCACCCCGGTTGTATGCTGTGCTTATTCTGCGACCCTGAAGATGGAGGCGATATGTTCCTCCGAAAAGTCTATTTTCTTTCAACGGACTAAACGACGTTATATCTCAGAAGACTGTTGTCGTCATAACCACCATTGTGAGAAACTCAAATGTTACAATCTTATTACGTTCCTTAGAGTAATAAAATGCTTCTTATTTTGCATAAGAATTCTACTATTGTCTGTTCAACTGCAGAAGCAGACTGTGTTAAATATTTATGTGCTAAATTGTCTAAAATTGAGGCGGAATTCATGTAAGGATTATTGAAAACAAAGTCTCATCCTTGGAACTCCGCAGCAAACCAGTGCTAGGGCATGACTGGATTCACCTGTGTACTGTCTTATGACATGTGACACTGTGTAGTCTAAAAGAAGTTCACTCACGTTTCGGGGGAGCGTATTTCCTCAATCTTCAGGCATAAGGATAAGCCCAGCAAGCAAGGAAGCAAGCAACAGTTGAAAGTGCTTTCAGCCCCGAAGACTGAGACAGTACGCCGCACCACGACAACGGTAAATTTGTATAACACTACAGAGTGTCACACGCCAGATGACAGAACTCTTCATTGCTTAACGTGTCAGTACCCTGGCTTGTATTCTTTACTTATTTGTGGGAATATTCCGTTTTTATGTTGATTTATACAAACTTCTCGTTTATATGCTCTTCGTTATTGCTTTATTTGTTGTTGAATCATCATTGGTACATAAGAAATTTTATATGCTTGACTTTAATTATCTGTCCCAGTATTTATAGCTGTCCTGTTATATAATTTGTAAGGTGCAAGGTCCAATCCATGTGGTGTTTCAACATTTTTGTTTTCTCCCAAGTACGTTATTTTTTATATGTTTGATATATATAACCTCACTTCTGCATGTTCTTTTAAAGGGAGAGAGGATCTAGCTCTCTCCCTTTAACGGAACCTCCCTTCTGCAGGTTCTGTTAAAGGGAGAGAGGATCTAGCTCTCTCCCTTTAACAGAACCTCCCTTCTGTAGGTTATGTTAAAGAGAGAGAGGATCTAGCTCTCTCCCTTTAACAGAACCTCCCTTCTGTAGGTTCTGTTATATGGAGAGAGAATCTAGCTCTCTCCCTTTAACAGAACCTCCCTTCTGCAGGTTATGTTAAAGAGAGAGAGGATCTAGCTCTCTCCCTTTAACAGAACCTCCCTTCTGTAGGTTCTGTTATATGGAGAGAGAATCTAGCTCTCTCCCTTTAACAGAACCTCCATTCTGCAGGTTCCGTTGAAGGGAGAGAGGATCTAGCTCTCTCGATTGGTCCTGAGTGGGCTTTCAACGTGCGGATGGAGACACAGTCCATTCCCCGAAACGTTGTTTTCAATAAAGATAGGCTAGTGTCAGTCATTGTGCTGGAATGGTACTGTTTCGTTGTACACATGTTGGCATTTGAAATGTGTGGAAAGAAAACATGTAAATATTTTCACAGGCAACAAAGCGCAACAAGGCATGAATAATAACATGAATATAGCTTATGTATATGTGCTTACTACACATATTTAAAGTATGCTACATAATGGGATAGCTGTGAAATACTGAAGTGTTGAACTAACATCGAAGCCTTTATGTTGCGTCATTCTTGCGGAAAATGTGGCGAAACACTGACCAAATAAACTATTACTGTGTGAGATACATTATTTTTATTTCATTGAATATTAATATATTTCTGCGCCGAATACTGAGATAGCTGGATCTGCCGAAACGTTGGTACGTGTCTACCAAACTGCATGACATCACATCTCAGAAGCGATCTTGACGTCAACTAACCAAGCAACTTACATGTATTTACCCCCTGCCCTCATGTGGGCTAGTAGTTGCTTAGTGCCTTTAAATTTTCCTTGGCACTAGAGCCCCAGTGGGCCTATGCCTACCTCCATGAACTTCTCCGTTCACTTCGGTTTTTCTAGATCTTACACATTCGGTAGGACTCCTTGGGCGGGTGAGCAACTCGTCGCAAGGCCTCTACCTGTACACAAACACAGAAAAACACACACACAAACTAAACATCCATGTCCTGAGTAGGATTCGAACCCACGAACCCGGTTTCCAAGCGAGCGAAGACAGTACATGCCTTAGACCGCTCGGCTACCGTGACCGGCCCAGTGCCTTTAATAGAACCAAATAATTCATCGCTATGTTCACAAGAGCGATGTACTGAGCAGTATTCTCTTCTGGCTACCTTTGATCCACATCTCACATAATTTAAGATTCATTTCAGAAAAATATATTATCTGTGTATGAACATGGATAAAGTGGATTGGGCAAGTCTGGCAGGAATATACTCGTATGTGTCGAGCTGTAGGAATTACACGTATATTGAGAATTTTGCTACAGAATTTGTGCAGTCAGTGGGATATGTTGGAACCATTTTTATATATGTGTTTTATGCATCATGGGTACATTATTGTCAGTTCCATTTTAATGAAAAAGGTAAAAAGAAAGACTTAAGGCAAGTGTGAAATTGTCCCAAGGACGTTCAGAAATATACGAATATCTAAAGTTGCCATGCTTTTAACAATTTCAGAAATTAGTAGTGATTGGTTCTAGGCAAGTAGCTGGCGTTATGTAGTCCAGTTTTACGCATGCGCCATACGTCAACATTTAAAGCCCTTACCAACAGTTCCTCATGAGCTAAATGAAAACGTAGTGTCACACCTGAACTTGATGACGTAATTGTGACAGGCAGTTCATGTTAGACAGCGTATAATTGCATTAACTTATATTGTTACAAAATGTTCAAGCTAAAACATTGTGCAAAGGCTGTGTGTAGATGTCGATGAGGCTCTTACACAAAAGCCGTTTCAGATACAAGGCTTTCTTCATTTACGCATAATACTTATTTGTATTAAGTTTAGGCCAATAGATAAATTTTTAAGAAATCCTCTGTCCAGATCGCTGGACCATTAAAATGATTTTCGCAGATTTACGCAAGATCCACCAACCACGTGCTTTCTGTAATTGAGAACTGGTACAAGGCCGAGTTTACATCAGTGTCGGTTCGGGATTTTATAAAATTCTGTTTCATTATATATATGAAACCGTCGCGGAAAAATTAGTATCTGTATTTAACTGCATATTTAGTGGCCTGACTGTAAGGTTGAGCATGAAGCAGGCTGCACGGGAACCTCTCCGTGAGGACATAAAACAATACAATTGGTATAAGATAGATGCTTCCATTTCTTCGGCTCAGCAGAAGGACAACGGAAGGTTACAGATATAAACTGACGTGAGTCAGGGCAATAAATGGAGTAGAGGTGTCCTTCCGCGCAGAACGTCCTCACGGCGCTGCTCTCACTCCAGGGATATCGAGCAGCAACCTGCCGTGAGGACGAAACGTCTGCCTCCGCAAATCGCTGGCATTCCATCAGCACTGGAACTCGGCAGCGCAACATACAGCTTGCAACGTGTTTCATGTTGGCCGCGCCATAGCTCAAGCGGTTAGCCGCTGGCTTCACACCGCGGCGGCCCCGGTTCGAGCCCGGGTCAGGTCATGTGGGATTTGTGGTGGACAAAGTGGCGCTGGGGCAGGTTTTCTCCGAGTACTTCGGTTTCCCCTGCCAATCTTCATTCCACCAATTGCTCCACAATCACCCTCACCTATCATCTGGATCTGGTATAATAGACCGGAAGTGGCCGCAGTACAAGGGACTTAGTCCCACCCCACTAGAAATAAAAGAAATATATCATGTTCTTATGAATCATCATATCCTTAGAAATATTTTTCCCCACTCTATTGGCGCATAAGCATCATTCGTATGAAGATTAGGTCTCCATTATGTTATCTGGGACAAGGTTACTTTGGTATCAGTTTTGTAGCAGGCACTATGCTCCTAGAGTACTCACTCTGACTCCGGTTTGTGAACGTAGAATGGTAGAGACTTCATATACTCATATTATGCGTACTTTTGGTAATATTTAACGAATTATTAAGAAAAATCATTCCAAATATAATTTTTTTTTCTTGGCACTACAGCCCCAGTGAGCCTAGGCCCACCTCCATGAAACTCTCCGTTTCACTTCGGTTTTACTAGATCTTAGACATTCGGTAGGAATCCTTGGGCGAGTGATCAGCTCGTCGCAAGGCCTCTACCTCACAAACACAGAAAGACGCACACAAACATCCATGGCCTAAGTGGGATTCGAACCCACGATCCCGGCTTCCGAGCGAGCGAAGACAGTGCACGCCTTAGACCGCTCGGCTACCGTGACCGGCAAATATAATGTTAGACGTCGGAATATATTTTCTTTATATATCCCGCTGGTATATAGGTAGAAATTCTGTACAAGAACAATGTCCATAGCAGCATAATCTCTCCCACTTGCTTAATCGACTGGTGTAATGGTTTCCACCGCTGTACAAGATTCGTAAATCCGATGTCATGCATCCCATATGCAGCATAGCGCAGATCGTCTGAGACAAAAAGTAGATGACAGTGCAGAATTACAATGAATGACGTGTATGACCGGCATGCGACCAGATGATGCTTCCATGTCGGCTTTAAGTACCGTGTACTTAACGACGCCGCCAGTAGCGTCGAGTGCAGGACGTGCGTGGAGAGATTATAGTCTAATTTGCTGCAGGATGTCGGAGTTTGCCTGAAGGGAGTGAGGGTAACAACGAAGAACGTGCACCTGAACCCGGAACCTCCAAAATACGGAACATACACAGGCCTGCTAACCATTTAACGTTGATATTCGATTCTGATCATGCAGGGCTGGAGGCGTGTTTCACCCGATATGATAATTTCGCTAGTTTTCACGAAAAGAACGGGAGTAGGAATTTCTTCTGAAGAAAGAGAGGTTTGGCTGTTAATAATCTTGCTCCTGGTTTCGATTCAAAGCTTGGAAACCAGTTCTACTAACTGCTGTTGCAGTAGTTTTCTTCAGCACCTCCAGACAAGTTTTGGGATAATATCGCAAAGTAGACCATTGTCGTTTTCTTCGGTAGCCTTCTCAGTTCAGTGTTAGTTAGTTAGTTATTGGAGAGGGTGGGTTTCCCCATGCACTTAGACCTGTATTGGTCCATTGTGCTTCCCTCTATGATTTCTACCAGTCTCTATATCCTACCGGTACTGGTGCTTACCATCAGTCCCGCCCAGCCAGCGAGACCGGCTCTACTAGCTGAGAGGTATCTATAATGCTTCCCCCATCTACCAGAGGTATTAGAGACTGCTGTTGGGCGGGAAACGTCCGTAATTTGGCTCAGTGACCTCCTTTGGAGATATGAGGTTCTTTTACGTGCCGTAAAGCTACGACACGGGACCCACGGCTTAAAGTCCCTCCCGGAGGACTTGTTCCCTGAATTTTTCCGCCCTTAAAAATTCGACGACCTCCGCCGGGTATTTGAACCCGCGTACTACGAGTCGTGAGGTGGGAACGTTACCTCTAGACTACGGAGGCCGCTTTCAGTTCAGTGTTGAAAACCGGCAACACGCCCTAAACCTAATAAATCACGGTTCTGATGGAGTGTATTTAAATAAAAGCAATCTAACCACGTTCCGTCACTTGGTTCACTCATGCTCTGAGACGGTACGGTATGTACAGTAGCTGTCTTCCGCATCCATTTGGACTCATCGCCTACAGTTCTTGTAACACATACTGCATTGGACGTTACGTAAGTCCAGCTGTTGTCACAGCATCTCAAAATAACCGAATAAACTAGAAATAACTTCGCTTCCTTGAACAAATTTCTTGATATTTTACCTTAAATTAAAATTATAATTGCTGACACCGAAACTCTGGAAATGTTTTTATTCTGTAACAGATCGAGAAAGTGCACTAATAATCTGAAGCAAACCTGTACATACAGTATGCGCCAAAATGTGCAGTACTGAAACTCGCGCATCTCGAAACTATAACAGTCTCACTGGATTACACATAAACAAATTCTTCAAATCACACTTTAAATTCTCACAGGCCGACCTCCTGTATTCTTCTGTACTCCTGGTTCCAGTTCGCTCTTCATTCTCAGCTGCTGAACCCTCATGGACTGTCACTTAAAACTGAAATCTGTTAAAAGTCAAAGTAAAGGTCACATTGCGACTGACGGTCAGTGTCAGTCATTTAGTAAGCCTCGGTGTCGAGCCCCAT